TTTTTTTCATAATCTGATGCTTGTTCAGAGCATCAGATATTATTGACAATGGTTGCATGCCTAAATGTATTGATTACTGTCATGCAATTTGGCTGATAAGATATTTGCATCGGTACGGCAGTGGAACCAGTGTATTTAATAAAGAGGCTGAACGTGTAGTAATGAGAATGTTATCCTCAAGTCATGTGTAGTGCCTTTGGCCAATTGTGGATATTGTGTCTGTTATCAAGGGTGTCGGGACAGAGGGAACCACACAGTGTGATGCTTCCTAATTGAATGCCCTCCAGCATGGGGCAAAAGTAGCACCTGCCAAATCTGGTTAAGCTTGTTATGGCCTGGTGCTGACATTTAAAAGTTTCAGGGGATGTGTTCTAATGAGCCAGATATGACTGTAATATATAAATGACCAGATATTTTGTTGGCATGGTCAGTTTCTTGTTTTAATAATACCGAAGAGGCGCTTGTGTGGTGGGATTGGGTCTGTGTGAATAACACTAAATGCTCCACCCAGGTGAATGTTACTGTCGGATCGTCTCATAGACTATAATAAAGAATCCATGACCATAAATATAACCGCTGCGCTCAGCATCAGCCCCATTAAGCTGCAAATGGCCGTGGAACAAGCAAGAAACAAACATTCATGAATTAAACAGGAAAAAAATCCAAGCTGGAGCCAAGAGAAAGAATTATCCTGCAATTCCCCGAAAATTGTTTTTCATTACCGTGGATCATTTTGGTACCTAGAAAGTACTTTTTTTTTCATTTGTGTCTTACAGACAAGCTCTGTAATTATACTCCATAAATCTCTTTTGCTGATATTTTGTCTCCTATATTTGTGTTTTTGCATTTGCAAAAAAAATGACCTGACGCGTTGCTGCTGTTTTTCTTTGTTTGGCTCTGTTCTGCATCTATCTGGGTCAGTCTCTTACCTCAGTTTTAGGCCATCGGTGGCCATGTTTGATGTTCTGTTAAATTCACTTTGAGACCAGATGTTTTTCTCTAAAAACATTATCCAGCTCTACATCACCCACAACTCTGAGTGAATGTGGGTCACAGTCCAACCTACTCTAAGTATATTAGGAAGATACAGATTTGTTCACAGTATTTATTTAGATATTTATTTAGATTTAGTTACAGTCTTGGATTCAGAATTTAAACATGAAGTGTGTGATTTTTTTTTTCCAGTGGTAAAAATAAAAACAGCTTAATATTCAAAGATTTATGCATTACATGTTCTTTCACAGTTTTAATTTGATATTATTATTAAATATCATTACAATAAATGTCAATAAAATTATATAAAAATGCATGTTCAATCAGTTGTATGAATGATTATTTTATTTATTTATTTTTTGCCCTCATAGTTTACTGAAGTTATGTACAGTCAATATACTCACATATTACAAGTGAAAGATTTTTGAATGAAGTGTGCATTACTTGATTTTAAAATAGTTATGTCTTGTAAATGCTATTTAACAGTGCATTTATTGAATCTTATGTTTTCTTTTTAATTGCGCAAAGGCTGTGCTGAACCACACCCATGCGTTCGCTACAAAAGTATAAGGGAAAGTAATTGAAAAAATTGACTTGGAAAAATTTGATCGATTATAGGTTCTGAATGTTGATTTCGATTATTTTTTTTATTAAACGCCTAGCCCTAATTACAAACAACACAGATTGCAAGCTAAAAAAAACTTTGCTGGAACTGGAAAGACTCATTTTACAACTACCCTAGAGTTAAATAATTGAGTTTGATCATTTTTAATCCATTGAGTCAATATCTAGGTCTGGCAGGAGCATTTTTGGCTTAGCTTAGCATAAATCATTAAAAACCATTTGACCTTTAGCATCTCGTTCAATAATGATCCAAGACTTTCTATAATTTTCATATTTAATGCACCTTCTTGGCTGTTTCACAACACACTTTTCAGTAAGGTATTTTTCAGTAAGGTATTTTGTAATCATTTTAACATAAATCTTTTTAAATTTAACTTTGAAGTAATTTTTAAATTAATATATTTGAATAATCCTTTGTATTGTTTTAAGGAAATATTATTTCAATGTGCTGAGTGTGAAATTGCACATTATTTGACATAAAATTTATGTTGAAAATATTTACAATACAATATTTACAATACAATATTTATTTATAAAGCACATTTAAAGACAACCAATATTGACTAAAATGCTGTACATATGAGTACTAAAAACAGAGAAGAAAGCAGAATATAAAAGAAACATTTAACAAAAAAATAAAAAATAAAAAAGAGTGATCAAGGAGTATTTAAAGCAAGAGAAAATACAGGTCTTTAAAACAGACTTTAACACAGAAATGGAGGGGGAAAGTCTAATGTGAATTGGTAGAGTGTTCCAGAGTTTAAGACCAGCAACTGCAAACGCTCGATCACCTCATTGTTTAAAGAAAAAAATCTGTTTTGTATTAATACAGGTCAAATTTTGGTTTTAGGGGTCTCCAACAACATGCTAATATGCATGCAAGGCCATAAAACCTTTTTTTGTATTCATATTACTAAGTGCTGTGTTACTCACTGCATGGAAGCTCATTTTCCACAACCCATAACAGAGGCTTTTGAAGGTGTGTTTGATCTCAATGAATGAGAGGGGGTATAGGTGTAACCCAGGTTACTGTAGTCCTTATCAAGACCTTTAACCAAATAAATAAATAAGAACAATAACTGGAGTACATGTAAAATAATTTTATTTGTATTTTGTAATAGTCACAATGTTATCAAAAAGAAAAAAAGAAACATTATATAATCGTAGAATGCAGATAAAATTAAATGCATCTATTTAACTGCGAGTGAAAAAAATACTAGCTCCGCCTCCCGGAATGACGTCATCTGCGCGCGTTGAGTTGAGAGAGAGGCAGAATCACAACGTGAGAGAGGAGTGAAACGAGAGAAACGTGAACAGCTGGAGCGAGCTCGCGGCCCGCGTCGTGTATAGCTGTAAAATTTGAGAAATTAGAAGTAAGACAAGCAGTTGAAACTTGATTTAGTTGCTGTAATATACTACTGTCCGTACTCAAACCCCCAATCGCGTTTGGACCAAGGACAGGAATCGTCTGAAGCACAGATCTGATTAGGCTGTATTTTTTTTTGGTTCATAAGTGATTTTTCCTTCAACTATAACTACTATATTTCTTGGTTGGGTTTTTTTTTTGTGTGTTCTTTTCCTCTGTTTTTGTTTTTCCATCTCCTCTGTTCGTGATCCTGACACCTGACATTTGGAGTGTGGAGTTCTAGAAGTCCAAAGTATTCTTGTTTCTGCCATCTTGGAGGACATTCGCTGTTGGTGGAAACTGGCGAGCCGCCCGGTTTTATGGAACCAATATTTCGTGTTGCCCAATTCATCTGATTGGTAGGAAATTTGAGTTTATATTTTCCATCGTCTATCGGACACAGGAACGACTGGAAGCCAGAGTCATATTTAGTTCTATTTTTCTGGAACTGAGCTACTAATCAGTGTTAAAACAAAACACTGCAACGGGTGCATTATATACATTTGAGTTTATTGAACTGAACTTGAACATTTCGCAACCAAAGAGGTGACCAATCATATTTGTTTGATGGACTAGTGAATCATTTAGCCGAATCACTTTGGTATCTGACAAGAAATTATTTTCTGGGTTCAATTTTCTAGCCGTTTTTTTCCTAATTGAAGTGTTTCAATTATTACTATGGTCTTACTTACCTGAGGAGTGCTGAAGTTGTTTATATTTACCTTTTACATTTTGTTTTTGTGAAGAAAACACTTGACATAGTGTGAAAAGCCTTTATTTTATTTTATTACTTTATATTTGGGGAAATATACATTTCAAAGTCCAAATTTGAGAATAATTAGTTTGTTATTTTATTTAATTTATTTAATTTCTCACTAATATTTACAATAAAAATCATATATATTTTGATACAAAAATTCCTGTCTTGTGTCATCATTTCCCTTGTCTTGCTGCAAAGTTGGCTCCAGAGCGAACTTAAACTTCTGATAACTTGGTCCAAAGTTGATAGTATAATATTGTAATCTCCTTGGTTTCTATATCGTGCGGGTTACATATGGACAGAGCAAGTCCGTAAGGTACAGAGGAGCAAGATTATTGATGGCTTTGTAAACAAATAATAACATTTTAAAATCAATTCTGTATTTAATGGGAAACCAGTGAAGTGCAGCTAAAATAGGAGTTACTGACTCATACTTGCAGGTGCCGTAGAGTAGTCTAGCAGCTGCATTTTGTACCAGCTGCAAACGAGGTAGGGAAGACTGTGAAATACCACAATAGAGGAAGTTACAGTAATCCAGATGAGTTGTTATGAAGGAATGAATCACTGTTTGAAAATTTCTCTAGGATAAAAATAGCTTGACTTTAGCCAGTTGTCTGAGGTGGTAAAAGCAGGATTTAATGACAGTACTGATATGTTTTCATCAAACAAAACACCAAGATTTCTTACACACTGGACAATATGTGGGGCCAAATATGCCACATTGATATTTAACAGAGAATTTCTTTGTACCCAGATAAATTACTTTAGTTTTTTTTCCAATTCAAAAAAAAAAAAAAAAAAAAATAGCATGAGAGCCAAAGTTGAAACTCCTCTAAGCAAGCCAGAAGTGGTTGTTAGCCACAAAATATGCAATTAAATCTATTTAAATATGTCTTAGTTAAAATATAAATAACATGAAAGTTTCGTTATTTAACCAGAAATTAGTATTTATGCAGGAGAAATAAAAAAAAAACAGCAAAAGTGATTCAATTGCATATAATAAATTACTTCTTAAGAGGGTCAAGCCAACAGTTCAGCCAACAGATTTGAAGGAATTTAAAATATAATACTTTTTATTTAGTTTATAATATACATGGAATCTAATGTCTTATACATTACATTTATTTTTGGACAGTAGTCTATTTTCTTTAGTGTTTTATTTCTGTATGCTAAAATGTTTGACAGCAGCTGATCTAATTGTGTTTTTGTCTCTTTCAGATGTGTCCCCAGTGCTTGCAGGTTTTCTGGGTGCAGGGGTCTTGGTTGTGTCCGTGACAGTGGCTGTTTTCCTGTGGACATGCTGTCAGAGGCGATATCGTCAAATGACAGGTGCGTACAAGCTGACCAGTGGCCCCTACGACCCCCCCGTCGACCCCCCCTACAAGTTCATCCACATGCTCAAAGGCATCAGCATCTACCCTGAAACCCTCAGCAACAGCAAGAAGATTGTGCGGGTGGGACGTCGCTCTGCATCGAACTCCTTGTTGAGAGAATGGGGTCGCGGATCTCGAAACGGTGACGTGCTGCTTGTGGATGCAGACCCTGAATGTGGTACCACACACCTACAAATGAACCACCTGGTCCCTCCTGTGGGTCCTCCTAGACTGGAGAGGGCGCTGCCTATCCGGGCCGACTACTGCTGTATGGAGAGCAGCTCAGGAAGCAGCAGCGAAGCTCACAGCAAAACGGCGTCTCCTTACAGTCTCAACTCCCCTTCTCTGGGGACGCTCAGTTTGGCTATTGACTACAACTTCCCCAAGAAAGCCCTGGTCGTGACTATCATAGGGGCGCAGGGGCTCCCAGCAGTGGATGAACAGGCAGGCAGCTCTGACCCCTATGTGAAGATGACCATTCTGCCTGAGAAGAAGCACCGGGTGAAGACGCGTGTTCTGAGGAAGACTCTGGAGCCTGTGTTTGACGAAACGTTCACTTTCTACGGTGTCCCATACAGCTCGCTGCCAGAGCTTACACTGCACTTCCTGGTGCTCAGCTTTGATCGGTTTGCACGGGATGATGTCATCGGGGAGGCAGTGGTGCCGTTAGAAGGCGTGGATCCCAGCACGGGGAGAGCGCACATCACCCAGCAAATTAGCAAGAGGAACACACAGGTAAGCATTTATGAGCTTGTGTGGGATTGTGGGATAGTGTAGCTCTTCAATCTTTGCTTTAAAATTTAAGGGATAGTTCACACAAAATTGAAGATTTTGTTTTGTGTTCAACAGAAGAAAGAAATTTAAAAAAAATTACAACCAATTAAGTGTGAGAAAATGGTGAAGAAATTTTCATTTATGGGCGAATCATGTCATTAGTATGGTATTAAGGATGCACTACCCTATGAAAATACTGCTTAGTAGTTGATGTGACGAGATTTCGAGACTAAATGGTTATGAGATTTCTTGTCGAGGTGAAGAGTTGTAATGTTATGGTGTAGTGTGAGGGTGAATTTAGCACTGAAAATTGGAGGCAGGATTGTATTTGAAATGCAAATCATATGCTTTGCACACACATGGCAACCTGGCCTGCTTTGGTGTAAGTAAAATTACTCATTTGTTTGGGCAAGTGTGATGTAACCGTTTTTTCACTGGAGTTCAAAGGTTGCCGCATCCAAAAGCAAAGGCTGCTACAACTGCAGGCACACAGTTATTACCCATGTGATGGAATAGCACTTTAGACATGCTTAAAGGTGCAGTATGTAGGTTTGACACCCAGTGGTTGAGCTAGCTATTGCACTCCCGGATCAAAACAAATGCAAGTGCAGGTTGCCAAATTGAGGACAGGAGCGAGTGATTTAAACCGTGTTGTAAATAAAAACAACGGCCCCTGATAGAAGGAATATTTTCTATATTAAAATGAGTTTTTATCCTAACCAACACTTCAAATTGATATATTAGAAACAGCTTCTATTTCTTGAAGCTGAACAACAGAAAATTTTGACCATGATCAGCTCAGGTAAACCTCATGTGCTTTATTCTGTGTTAAATACTAACAATGTGAGTTTGATTGCCATTTTTCATTACATTTATTGTCATACTACTGAAAGCAGCAGCAGACAGTTCACCTCTGATCTTGAAAATAAAATAAACCGTTTGAAATTGAACTTTAGAACTGTGAAATAATGCACACCAACACATATCAGTGATTCAGCATCTACATTTAATGATGTTAAAGAAATTTAATATGTATTTAACAGAGTAAAAACCTTACCATTTCATGAGTAAGTGCATATTCTGTGCTTAAATGGCTGTATTTAAATTTCTGTCATGTTTCGTCTGGTGCAAACAGCCAAATTGCTTATCACTGCGTATCTCATCTTGAAGCGTGTTGTTAGGACACATGCTTACAATTTAACCTTCCCACTTAATGTTTACATTTGTAATATTTATATCATTTGCTTGTTAATAACCTTATGTGGAAATCTGCGTCTCATTTCAGAGTCTGCTACTGTCCACCAGAGGTCGCATTTTGGTCACAAGCGCATGCTTTCAGAGCCTTTCTGAATAAATGCGGTTTTCCACCAAGGCAACCTGGGGTGCTGAAATATAATTGGCTAAACTGGCATTGGGCAGGTTAAAATGACCAAAACAAGGACAGCGTTCTCGCACGGAAAACACATTTTCAAAGCAGAATATCTGACTTCAGCATTGTTTTTCAGATAAACAAGTATGTTCACTTAGCATGTTTCTTAAATATCTGCAAACATATTATGGTATTTTTATGCTTTAAAAGAGTCAAAAACTTACATACAGCACCTTTAAAGTCATAATCGTTGTAATCGCAAATCAAATTAAGACATGTGGAGAGTGCTATCACCTATATTTCCTTTTTCATTAAAATAAAAATATATTATTTTATTTAAATATTGCAGCTATGTTTTTTTTACAGTGCATCTTGTTTACTCTAGCATAAACTCCCCTAAGATGCACTTCTGCTGCAATCAGCATGTCATGTCATGTTAAAGGCATGAATCAAAAACACCATGGCCAGCAACATACATCTGAAAATGATCAACCAGCGGAAATAAACCATAATTTATTCACTGATAATTTGTTTTCCTATGATCCATATCGTATGATTACCAACATATTTCATATCACTAGAAAAATGAATTGGAAATGCATGAGCAGTGACATACTGTTAGCAAACATCCTGACACCTCCCACTATGTTTAGATGAATATATGTTGCACTTATCTCTCTATTACAAAGGAAACACAATAGAAATGACAGGATTGAGAAAACAGCAGTTAAAAAGCATCCAAGTAGAGGTCTGCATTCCCGCGGCTGTCCCGCGGGCGACTCCCAAGTGAGCACCCGTATGTATGTGTGTAAATGAAATAGTGCGATGCTGTGTTTAGCTTGTTTGTTGCAGTGTGTATGTATGCGCACGCGCGAATGAGAGGTGTGTGTGTGTGTGTGTGAGCGCGCGAATGAGAGATCGAGCTTTGCCTGTGTTTGTGCTTGGTGCTTATGAGTGTGTGTTAGAGGGCGCGCGCGCGCGAATGAAAAAGAAAGCTTTGTCTGTGTGTGTGTGCTTGGTGCTGTGCGTGTGTGTGTTTATACAGACAGCTTGTTATAGGCTGTCTGGACTGTATAACTGGGTGATTTTCGGTTTTGTTCTACCCCCGCTCTTTAGCGGGATCGGGCGCGGCGGATAGAAAACGGGGCGGGTCGGGCAGCGGGACATCAAGTGCTTAATATAAGCGGGAGCGGCCGGGTTCCGGCTAAAACCTGGCGGGTGCGGGCGGGAGCGGGATTCAAAATTTAGTCCCGCGCAGATCTCTAGCTCCAAGTTACATTGGGTTTACACACTTATGTAAAGTCATTGTGTCATTTATTAAAAGTAAATTAAATAAGCTCTTTTTACAGTGTAGAGATGAGATGTAATATATATATATATATATATATATATATATATATATAAATATATATATATATATATAAATATTTTTTATTTTTTTTTTTATTTTTTTTTTTTTAAAGTCTATTTACAGTCCAATAAAATATAAAATAAAAATTTTAATAAACATTAAAAAGACACACATACTATTTACAATTACTTAAAAGGTCCAAAAGTGAATCTCTCCATACATTCTGACCATTTTGGTATCTAGCTTTTGGTATCCTTTGTTATTTTTATTTTATTTATTATTATTACTTATTTTTATTAGAGAATAGAACATTGCATGTAGTACAATACAGTGTTTTTGCATGTTTACATCCTTACGACATATAAGTGAGAGAAAAGAATGACAATAGTTAAAAAAAATTTAAAAGTAATAATAATAATAATTGTAATAAAAAAAGGGATAAAATAAGATTAAAGGCATGACAGGCAAGTCGTAATGCATATGTTATTTGTTTCAATTGACATAGCTCCCACAATTTTTGAATCCAAGCATTATATGATGGAGGTTCAGAATTTTGCCATCTGCATGTGATGCACGTCAAAACTGCAGCAAGTAAGATTAGTAATAAGTACATTTTTGATCTTCCATCGAAGCCCATAGGGCATACACCTACTGTAGCAGAGCAAGTGTGGGTTCTTCAGAAAATTTATAATGGAAGATTTCCTTAAGGGCATTAAATACCTCTTTCCAATAGTTACTTAATTCAGGACATGACCACAGAATATGAGTGTGGTTACCAATATTATGTCTTTAATTTCTCCAGCACTTGTTAGAACAGGATCCATTTTAAAATTATTTGTGGAGTTGTATCTTTTGTTTTTGAGCCAGTTAATATGAAATCAATTTGAACTAAACCACAGATCCTCCATCACCTCTTTTAGGTGTTGCCATGTCCTGTTGTTATACATGTTTTCGGTCATGTTTGTGCTTGGCTTAAACAAGTTTGGTGATCAAGGTTAATGAAAGAGCAAACTATTTTGTGTAGCTGTCAAATTAAAGCAATTTATATTAGTTTCTTTGCTTTATTCTCCAACAACAAGAATAATTCATGGCTGTTTCTGAGTGATTTTGATACAGAAGACAGCCACAAATGCTTTAATGATGATTATTAAGTTCATTTGGGCTTCATACACACCCTGTAGACTTTTGGTAAATAATTGCTAGTCCAATGTTTAAAGATAATTCAGTTGTTGACAACCCAATTCAGCTGCAGTGCGTACATGACCCTAGATGCCTCTAATCTTTATAAAAGCATACTTACATTATTCAGAAACATGAAAACATCAGTGCTGGGTGCTGCCTTCCCTGTGAGGGAAATTATATTCCTCGCCTGTTATACGACACAGCAATCGTTAAACTTAATCTTTCCCATGAGATGGCCGCTCAAACCTTTATGGATCTCCCAAGATGTTTTACGGTTAGCAGGAGTCATTGTGGGAGAAAGCCTTCCTTCTCGTGTAGGAAATAAGGCAAAATAAAACATTTTGAGCTCTTTGCCCGAGGTTAAGCGTTCTTGTGATTGATACAAGCAGTTTTCAGGATGACGGCACTGCCATCGGTTCCAGTTCAGTGAAGCTGTTATTCTACAGCTTTTCTTGAGACGGAGTCACAGAGGTGCAGATTTTATTATGTTGGCATTTATAACCTTTCATGACATTTTAGAGAATATATCAGCATTCGACTTGCGATTTTCAAGACCTTTTCATCTGCTTTTGCAGTTGAGAGTCTTTCAAGTTCAGACAAGCAAACTTTTAATATTGCTCAACTTCACATATCTTGCAATGTTATGGAATGACTACTCAAATTGTGTAGCTTTATTATTGAAAAAGAGATAAGCATACTATTAAAACAAGAGTACTTAATATAGAAATAATATACTTAAAAATAGCAATATCACATGGTTCATTATGGATATATGACTCTTGAGTGGGATTATGCCCATGCTAAATCACAGTCATGCTTGTTTAAAGATATATTGCATGGCTACAATGTGAAATTCCATTTATGCAGCAGTTTAATGGCACAAGTGTACAAAAATAAAAAAAGAAACAAACACAGAGGGATCTATTTTAAGGATCTCTTGCCCAAGTGCGCTTTCACATCTATTATTTGCTATTTTAATGAATCTGGTTGTGTGCAAGCTTAAAGTAACCAAGCAATGTGTAACAATTTGAGTACTATGTTTACTCCATTTATGTGTAC